TTGCCTGGTGATGAAAAAAAAAGAGGGCACGTTCTGCATGGAGCACTGGGAAAAAAAAACAAACAATGAATCATGGAACACTACATCAAAAAAAAATGATGTAATGTATGGTGATTAACATAACAAAAAAAATGTGCAAAGGAAAAAAAGATTATGACCTCACTGTTTAATAATATGATGTGACTATGATTTACTAGTTTGAACCCAAGTGAGCCACAAACCTAAGTGAATAAAGTTTACTACAGGTACAAATGAAGGGGGAAATCAGAGATTCAATGAATTAATTGTTGGATCCTCTATGCACCAGAAACCCAGGGAAATAAATTTTTTTTTAGGTAATTTTAAGTGCAATTGAATTTTCTTTTTTTTTAAAGATTTTATTTATTTATTTGAGAGAGAGAGAGAATGAGAGATAGAGAGCATGAGAGGGAAGAGGGAGAAGCCGACTCCCCGCTGAGCAGGGAGCCCGACCCGGGACTCGATCCTGGGACTCCAGGATCATGACCTGAGCCGAAGGCAGTCGCCTAACCAACTGAGCCACCCAGGCGCCCCAATTGAATTTTCAAACTCCAAAAAAGAAGAACAAGATGTTAAAGATAGCTAGTGGAAAGTGAACTGGGTTTTGAAAGATGAACAGGATCAATTAGTATGAAGAAAACAGAGGGGAGGGAATTAGTGTAGTACGTAGGCCAGGAAGAAGAGGAACCAATTTTACAGAAGGAAAACTAATCTAGATGTCATTTCTTTGATTCCTTTTGTTAAAAACTGTAGCCCACTTTAAAATGCCTTTTATTTCCATGTTCAGTCAGTCTGCAATTCAAACTAGCTTGAGGTAATTAAGGGTAGAGGAGATCAACAGGCAGACTTTATTTGTATGGTAGTAAAGACAGAAATGTGGATGGGTAATCAAAGAATTTTTTTTAATAATCTCTACACCCAACGTGGGGCTCAAACTTACTACCCTGAGATCAAGAGTCCCATGCTCCACCAACTGAGTCAGCCAGGCACCCCTAAAGAATCTTTTGCTGCATAAACAGTCCGGAAAGACCAAAACAAATGCCATATCCAAGTATGTCAGTCATTAAAAATGGGGAAACTAAGGGGGAGCTGGGGGGTAGGGAGAGAGATGAGATCTCAAAAACTGATAAATGTTTATTTTACTTTCAGTCCAATATTATTTTATGTGATCTTAATAAGATAATCTTATTTATATATTTTGGGAAGCACACATCTTTGAGAATCTGGCAATTAGGAAGATAAGTTTTTGGCTGTACACACCAGTGTGGGGAACAAAGGCAAAAGGAAATGTAGATAAAATTAAATCTCCTTATAACTGACAGCCCATTGACAAATACTTGAGATAGGCAGATTATAACATTCTTCTGGGATCTTGAGTCTTCTTTAACATATGAAAGTCTTTTTGGAACCTCCCTTAATCTTTACTTCCCCTAACCCCAAGGTATATAATCACTTGCTCCTCTTAATCCTGGGGCAGTGGGGAGCAGCAGGTAGCTGCTGAGGCAGCTCTTTCTGCCCATGGGGCCTGTCCCCACGGTTTAATAAAATCACCATTTTGCATGGAAGACCTCTCAAGAATTCTTTCTTGGCCGTGGATTCCAGAACCCATCACCAACAACAACATTCAAAAACTACATCAACACCATTGTTCTACTCTAAAATCACCTTGGAACTGTTAAGTAACTTTAATATATTTAGATTATTTAACATCTGATCACTGAATCCATGCTTCAGTAACCCAGGTAACACCAAATAGAAGGTTGAGGCTTTGTTATTGTTGTTGTATTCTTGGTTTTTGTACATTTCTATTCTAATTAAAATTACATCAGTTTATACATTTAAGATTTTCCCAGCTCCCACTGTCCCTGGAAGTTCAGAGTATATTTGATGTACCTGTCATGCTTTAGGCTGATGTTCTATTATTTTGTTTTACTCAAAGAACTCAAAGAACAAAAGTGGGTAATTCCTATAAAGCCTGTCTTTGAAAACTCTAAGGTGTCGTTTTAGTCTTGTTTCCCTCTGGCCATGAGATAAACTGTTGCTAAATGCGGAGTCGTGTTTTCCTGCTCTACGTGCAAGAATAATAAATGGGGGGGGGAAAGTAGCGCTTTATTAATCACTAATTTTTAAGAACCAATTACGTTTTTCAGAATTAGAATCAACAGAGAACACTTTAGGTTCAACATGTTGTAAACACGGATGCTCACTTAAGGATAAATCATTATATTGTCATAATTGAATTGAAAATCGGTATTTCTGTAAATCATTTCACATTTGCGAAAGTACAGCTCAAACGAAATGAACGTTTAATTAAAGGCCGGGACTAGGGTGAGGTGAGAGAGGGGCCTAGGGCAAATATTTAAGGAGACAAGACTACGTCCTTGAGAGCACCTCCCTCGCCCCACCTACGGCCTGGCCCTCCATTAATAAATGTAATAAGGAGTCCGAAGGGCATATGGGGTCTGGACGGTCTTTCCAAGTGTCAGATGCAGTTAAGCCAGTGACTCCATCCAACCTAGTAGCGGTTACAAAGTGGGCATTTGTTCGACAGAAATTGCCAAGTCAAATATTGTCCTATCAAATTCAGTTCTGACGTGACAGGTGTTGCCTCCGGAGGGGAGCCACCAAAAACAAAACAAACACCAATCCATCAGCTCCGGGAAATGCCGCGCCCTGGCTGGCAATGGGCAACCCGTAAGTTCCGAAGCTATGTAGGTAACGTTCCGAAGCTATGTAGGTAAAGAGACCTTCCCTTTAACAGAGGGGCACCCGCTTCCCTTTGGGAAACTCAACGACCCAATAGGTGCAGGAAACCCGTTAAGTGTCAACAGCGGAAACTAGAACTCCGCCCCAAACAATAACCACCTGCGCCGCCAGCCGCAAGGGTTCCTGGGAAAGGGCGTTGCGCCTTCGCCAGTCGCCGGTATCGGGCGGCGCGAGCCGAGTCCTCAGACGGCCGGTATCCGTGCTCCGCCGACAGGCAACCACAGTGAGGACTCGACCCTGCAAGTGAAAGGGAAGGCCGTCGCCCCCGCAGACCCAAAGAGCCGCTGTTCTGACCCGAGCTGTTTTCACTCCGAGCAGGCGGGCAGATCCGGGGACAGCCCGCGCGCTCCAGGACCCCGGCGGCGGCGCGGCGCGGCGGGAAGGGGGAAGTTTCAAAGCCGAGCTGGGGACTTGCCTACCGCCGTTCCGGCGAAATGAAGCTGCACTGCGAGGTCGAGGTAGTCAGTCGACATTTGCCGGCTCTGGGAATGAGGAACCGGGGTAAGGGTGTCCGGGCGGTGTTGAGCCTCTGTCAGCAGACGCCCAGGAGTCAGCCTCGGGCTGGGGCTCGGGGCGATCGAGGCGGCCCGCACCCCACCTGCCTGCTCATCTCCACCCTGAAGGACAAGCGCGGGACCCGCTATGAGGTGCGTGGACCGAACCGGCCTTGCCTCGGGAGTTGGCCACGAGCTCTTCCCCTTCGGGTCTCGCTTGCTTGCCCGTTCCAGAGGCTGGAGCCTGTCCTGGGGGCGGATACCTGAGCCCCACCACCACTCCGAGTTCTGGGCGTCTCCCTGTGGACCTGAAAGGAAAGCTTTTGAGAAGGCACCTTCTTCTTCTTTTTCTCTCCCGTTTCTTTGGCTTTAAATTGACACCCTTTCTATTTAGTAGTAGATGGTAACCCTGCCCTTTTAAAGCCTCTGGAAACTCGGCTTGCGTGAAACTAAACTTTAAATGAAACAGCATTCCAGTTTGGGGGACCAGTAAAATAACTGCACTTTCGTTTTTTTTTTTTTTTTCTCCCACAGTATTTTCGCTAGCCTTTTTTTTTTTTAACGCTTTAAGTTCTGATGAATAGTATCCAAGGTCGTTAGACCAGATTAGTACAGTAGTAAAGCAGTAAAGCTTTGTGTTGCGTCTTGATATTTTTATTAATGTTACTGGTTACTTCATCTCTCTCTTTCTTTTTTCTCCTTAAATGTTTAATTTCCTAAGACTTGATTTTTTAGGGCCAGGGCTTTTTCTCATTTGCATAGCAATAGAGTTAAACTCTCTAAAAACAGTTGAAAGTTGGAATAAAATTTTCAAAACACAAGTTTTATAAAATTCTTTTTTCCTTATTTTACAAGGCACTATGTTATTTTGTCAAAATGACTGGAATACCCTTGTGTCTACTATAAATAAAGTTGAGGGGGCAACTCATCTCCCACCCTTGCATTGGACTCTTGTCTGGATTTTATACAGTTTCTGGGATTATTTCCCTCATAGTGTTGTACTCCACAGTGAATACTCTTAGCTGACGGAAGGGTTTATTACATCTCATTCAGAGACTCTTAGTAATTGATATAGACAGTTGAAAGTGTAAGTAATTTCTCCCTCTTCATGGAATCAACTCATATAATTTTTCACCTTGAAAAGACTTAAGTAATCACCCAACATTTTATAGGTTAGAAAACTGTAAGGTGACGGAAGCCAACTCATAACAAGAATTGTCTCCTCTTCGCCATTGTCTTCCCCAAAACCTCTTTCATGCCCAGCTCAGGTATTGTTTATTTTTAAAAAGTCTGTAATGATCTCTTCCTTAAAACTTAAGGTGCACTAATAATTGTAGGTGGTAATCCTAATCAAAAGTTTATTGTGAACTGCGAATTGAAGGTTTACTGTGTGCAAGATGCAGTGCTAGATGCTGTGGGAGATAAAGTTGATTTAGTCACTATCCTTCCAAGACCAGAAAGGAAGAAATAGAAACCAGTGCTTACAATACAAAGTGGACTATGATAAATGCTATAATAAAGGTAGAAGTAGAATAGTATAGTATCAAAAAGCAAAATGAATTTGATTACAGAGGCTTGAAAAAGTTTTTTAAGATTTTACTTATTTTTATTAGCACGAGCAGGGCAGACGGAGAGGGACAGGCAGTCTCCCTGCTGAGCAGGGGGCCCGATGCAGGACTCGATCCCAGGATCCTGGGATCATGACCAGAGCTGAAAGCAGACACTTAACCGACTGAGCCACCCAGGCACCCAAGAAAGGTTTTTTAGAAGAGATGGTGGCACAGGGCTTGGGATATAGTAGGTGCTCAGTAAACATTTGTTGGATGAATTAAAGTGGTGTTGGTCTTGGGTCCTGAAGACTAGGTATTAGTGCTAAGTGTGGAAGTACCTTGGGGATCTTTCTTACACCAACTTTTCCATTCCATGGTTCACCTACTGCCCATCTCACTGTGATTTCCAAATATGTATCTTTAGCTAGTCCTCTCCCTTAATTTCGAATTTGAATCTCCTATCAATTGAAAATCTTCACTTAGATGTGTTGTAGCATTTCAAACTAAGATATCTAAACATTAATTTTCTTTGCCACCCCTAAATTTGGTTTTCTGATGGTGTTCTGCAACTCATTAAATAGTGCTCTGCTCTTGGGGTGCCTGGGTGGCACAGTTGGTTGAGCATATGCCTTTGGCTCAGGTCATGATCCCGGGGTCCTGGGATCAAGCCCTGAGTCAGGCTCCGAGGGGAGTCTGCTTCTCCCTCTCCCTCTGCCCCTCCCCACCTCGGTCCCTCTCTCAAATAGATAAAATCTTAAAAAAAAAAAAAAAAACAGTGCTCTGTTCTATCCAGAAACCTTACAGCTTTTGCATTCCCATATCTAATAAAATATTGAATCCTTTCAATTCTACCTCCTAGGTATCTTTCAGATTTTCATACCTCCTTCCGTCCCAATGCAGTCTAAACTACCATTACCCCTTGCTTGGCTAGTCTCTTAAAAGATATTCCTATTTCCCCTCCCCCAAAGTTCATTCTTACACTGTGTTTTTTATTGTTTTTTTTTAAGATTTTATTTATTTACTTGACAGAAGGAGGGAAGCAGGCGCGCAGGGCTTGATCCCAGGACCCTGAGATCAAGACCCAAGCCAAAGGCAGACACCCAACCAACTAAGCCCCCCAGGCGCCCCTTACACTGTGTTTAAAGGGAACTTAGCAAAAGGAAGATCTATGTTCCCAGCTTCAAGTCATTCAGTGGATATCATTTGCAGAATAAAATCCAAAATTTTTTTTTTTTAAAGATTTTATTTATTTATTTGAGAGAGAATGAGAGAGAGTATGCAGGGGGGAGGGTCAGAGGGAGAAGCAGACTCCCTGCTGAGCAGGAAGCCCAATGCGGGACTCAATCCAGGGAGTCCAGGATCATGACCTGAGCCAAAGGCAGTCGCTCAACCAACTGAGCCACACAGGCGCCCCAAAATTTTTGACATGGTTTACAAAATCCACCATTCAGCCTCTGCCTGTCCAGGTTCACTTGCCTCTTCACTGAATCCTTTAGCTATACTGAACTTTCAGCTCCTCACAGCTGCCGAACTCTCTTGCCTTCAAGGCTTTGCATACATTTTTTCTTATCGGTGTGCTATTCCCTCTCTTTCCCCAGTATCTTCACTTGCCCAACATCTCCTGATCCTTCAGTTCTCACCTTTAAGGTCACCTTGTTTTCCCTAGACCAGGTAAGATTCCTTTGCTATATAAGGTCTTAGAGCAATCTGTACTTCCCTTATCTTAATATTTGTTGCTTGTAATTACTTATTTAATAATTGTCTCTCATCAGACTGACAACTTTATAAACTTTATAAATGTAATTACCATGTTGGTTTTATTCACTACTATTGTTTCAAGCCCCCTGTCATAGTATCCGGTACAGAGTGGCTTCTTAGTAAATAGCTGTTGAAGTCTAAAGCCGAAGCAACATTTGTCATTAAAAGTTTTTGAGCACCTGTTATGTGTCGGTCACTGTTTTGGTTCTGTGGATACAGTAGTGAACAAAGGAAACAAGATTCCTGCTTTCATGGAGTTTATAATCTTGTGGGAGGTGTGTCCACTCGAGACTAATGGACTGAAGTTAAGAAGGCAAGTAACTATTGGCAGCTCCTACTACGGTCACATAGTTGGAATGGGAGAAGAGGAGCATTCTCCCAAACGGGATTCACAGGAAAGGGTTACTGGGCTGATAAAACAGTAATTTCTACCAGAAGCTAGATAAATGTAGCTACCCAAATGCTAAAAAAAACCCCAAAAAACCAATGAAATTAAAACTAAAACTTAAAACCACAAAACACCCAGACTTGATTAAAAGCCTGGCAAAGTGACTGGCACTTTCTAGTTGTAATAAATATTGTTGAATAACAATACCTGGTTTGTCCTTTTTTTCTCATTGGTGTTAAACAGCTAAAGGAGAACATTGAGCAATTCTTCACCAAATTTATGGATGAGGGGAAAGCTACTGTTCGGTTAAAGGAGCCGCCTGTGGATATCTGTCTAAGTAAGGTATGGTATGAAAAACATTAATGGTTAGGTTGGTTGGCTGTATTTTCTTTATAGAAGAGGCTATTTGAGCGTCCTGATATCCCACTTAGCTGAAGAGGGATGGACACTTGGCAGATGTGTTTGAAGAAGCAATGGCAGCTTCTCTGGCATGCTGGCCCAGCTCTGAAAGTGCGGAGAGCCTAGTAAGGCTATGCGGGATGGGGAAGAAGGAGAATGACTTATTTCTGTGCTCCAGAGAGCCTTAGAGTGTTTTTAGAGGGGAACTCTATAAGGCCAGTGGCACAAGTCTACATTTCGCCAACATAATCAGGTTGCAAATCTAAATTTGGTGTAAAAAAAGATAAAATGCAATTAGGACAATTTTGGGGTATTTTATTTATTATCATTTTAGAAAATACTTAAACCATTAAAATAAATTTCTTTTTTAAAGATTTATTTATTTTAGAGAGAGTGAGAGAGCACGAGCAGGAGGGGCAGAGAGAGAGGAAGAGAGAATCTCAGACTCCAAGCTGAGTTCAGAGCCCCATGTGGGGCTTGATCTCGTGACCTGAGATCACGACCTGAGCCAAAATCAAGAGTCGGATGCTTAACATACTTAAGCCACCCAGGCGCCCCTAAAGATTTTATCTTTAAATAATCTCTACACCCAATGTGAGGCTTGAACCCACAACCCCAAGGTCAAGAGCTGCAGGCTTCACCAAATGAGCCTTTTTTTTTTTTTTTCTCAGTTCATCTTAAAGCCGTCTTTTTTTTTTTTTTTTTTTTAAGATTTTATTTATCTGTTTGACAGCACAAGTAGGGGGAGCGGCAGGCAGAGGGAGAAGCAGGCTCCCCGCCGAGCAGGGAGCCTGATGCGGGGCTCGATCCCAGAACCCTGGGACCATGACCTGAGCCGAAGGCAGCAGCTTAAGAACTGAGCCACCCAGGTGCCCCAAACCCAAGTTTTAAGTGGAATCTTTTCATGCTTTCTCATCTTATTTTATACTCTTTTGGTTCCCCTTTGAATGGTTTTATTTAGAGTGTCTTTCAACATAATCTTTTTTCAAAAATTGTCCGTTTTTGTATCTATATTGAATTTTAGTCAAAATACTAAAAAATTATTTTTACAGCCATTTCAAGAAATGATTGCACCATTTTGCATGTATAACTTTACAGAATTTGTTATAGGATGCATTAGCATGCATGTATTATCTAAAATGGAATTTATAATTGTATGACTTATTTTTATTTATTCAGGCCAATTCCAGCAGTTTAAAGAGTTTCCTTTCAGCTGTGAGACTGGCTCATAGAGGTTGTGATATGGAAGTACCACTTTCAACCTTCACACCAGTGAAGACTTCAGAATTTGAAAAATTTAAAACTAAAATGGTTATCACATCCAAAAAGGACTATCCTCTAAGCAAGAACTTCCCATATTCTCTGGAACATCTTCAGACCTCTTATTGTGGGCTTGTCCGATTTGATATGCGTATGCTTTGCTTAAGAAACCTAAGGAAATTAGACTTGAGTCACAACCATATAAAAAAGCTTCCTGCTACAGTCGGAGACCTCATCCATCTTCAAGAACTTAACCTGAATGACAATCACTTGGAGTCATTTAGTGCAGCCTTGTGTCAGTCTACACTCCAGACGTCACTTCGGAGTTTGGATCTCAGCAAGAACAAAATCAAGGCACTCCCTGTGCAGTTTTGCCAGCTCCGAGAACTTACAGATTTGAAACTTGATGATAATGAATTGATTCGATTTCCTTTCAAGATGGGACAGTTGACAAAACTGCGTTTTTTGTCAGCAGCTCGAAATAAGCTTCCCTTTTTGCCTAGTGAATTTAAAAATTTATCCCTTGAGTACTTGGATCTTTTTGGAAATACTTTTGAACAACCAGAAGTCCTTCCACTTATAATGCTTCAAACGCCATTAACTTTATTGGAATCCTCTGCACAAGCCATATTATATAATAGGTAAGACTTTTAATAGTCATAAAATGTGGTATCTTTGTTAGCCTTCTAGTACTCTCATCATCCTCATTGTAATCGTCACAGTCTTTAAAGTAGTTTACAATGCTGTGCACAAACTGACCCCTTGCTCCAGTGATCTTGGTGCTCCTTACCTCTGCTTGGAATGCTTTTCTTCCAGAAGGTTCCATAGCTCACTTTCTCATTTCATCCAGTTCTCTTCCCCAGTGGCACCTAGAAAGGCCTTTCCTGACTCTCTTTAGTTTGATCCTCCACCCCCTTACATTGTTTGACTTTTTTGTCATAGGATTTATTACCTGGCATTACATCTTTTTTAACAATTGTTTTTCTGTCAGTTTTCCCCACTAGAATGTAAGATCCATGAGGGCATGGACTTTGTCTTATTACCCACTGTTTCCCCGGGGTCTAAAATGTGATATTCCCCTGTTCCTACCATATACTAGGCATTTACTTAATACTTGAATGAATGAATGAATGAATGGCAATGAATGAATGGCAGTTGTTTCTCAAAGTGTGGTACCCTGACCAACAGTATCAGAATCACCTAGGAACTTGTTAGAGATACGAGGTTTTCAACTCCACTACAGACCTATTAAATCAGAAATTCTGAGGGTGGGTCCAGCCCTCTGTGTTTTAATCAGTGCTTCCAGGCAGTATTGATGCACTCTAAAGTTTGAGAACTACAGTCTGGCATAGCCGTCAAGTGTGGTCTTTGGAGTCAGACTTGAGTTTGATTCCTGGCTTCACCCCTTAGTATGGCTTTAGCAAGTTTTTTAACCTCTTTGATTCAGTTTTCTCATCTGTGAAATAGGAACAATAATACCCACGTAACATAATTGTGAAGATAAAGGAGCTAATGTAATGCCAAAGTTCTTGGCATATAGTAGGCCTCAATAGCTGTTGGTTCTCTTCCCCTTGTCTTTGAACACTAACCACTTGGTTTCATGAGACACCAAACTCTAATTATTCATTTGGTTCATGCTTCTTTCATATAGGAGACTAAGATGTAGACCAAATTATTATCAAGTGCCTGTAAAATAATAGGAAGACTACATTTCAAAGACAGGATTGGGAAAAAGATCTAAAAAAAAAAAACAAAACAGACATTATGGGCCTAGAAAAATACACAGAATTTTGCATACAGCTTTATAATGCTCATGGACTCTGAAATCAATCCAATCCTCCCTCCTCACCATTTTTATTTAAGAGCTCTCAGTTTAAAGTGGTGATTCTCAAACTTTAGTTCACATTTGGAGTCACCTGAGCAGCTTTTAAAAATTCTGATGATTAGGGGCACGTGGCTGGCTCAGGACTGACATCCAACATAGAAAAGTGGAAAGAAAAAATAGGTAATCAAAATATATAATAGAGAAGGTAGAAAAATAATTTGTTAGTGCTGAATGATTTAGCATTGTAGTATTTACATTGTTTTTTAAACTTGACCTCTCCTGATATAGGTTCTTTTAACGTGACCTTAACTTTTACTAACGTATAATTTTGCATGTTTTCAGCCCACTTGTTATAAAAAGAATACAGATCCAAAGCTATGAGAAATTGCCCTAACTACTGGTTACAAACAAAGTTATGGTCTATTAGAAAAATATGTGGGAATTTAAATTATGTTAAGATAGAAAATACAGTTTTTAACTGTTACCTGTTTCCTTAGGCTATAGCCAACAGCCTGAAAGAGATTAACATAAACATGTGGTAGACACTTCCTAGCACAGTTGTTTTTTTTTTTAAAGATTTTATTTATTTGTCAGAGACAGAGAGCACACAAACAGGGGGAGCAGCAGGCAGAGGAAGAGGGAGAGGGGGAAGCAGCCTCCCCGCTGAGCAAGGAGCCCGATGTGGGACTCAAAGCCAGGACCCTGAGCCTGAAGGCAGAAGCTTAACTGACTGAGCCACCCAGGCGTCCCCCTAGCACAGTTTTTAAAAAAATTGAAAAAAATACAAGCAACAAATTAGTTAGTACATGTGGAAAAAAAATGAATTGCAGACAAGGCTGGTCCCTAATCCCTTATGAAAAGGAAACTATTTTTTATTTGACATGTATCTTTTCAGACTTGTTCTAAAAGGGCTGCTGAACCCCAGTTTAAATTATGAGTAGGTTTTATTTATTTGTTGAAAAAGATCTGAACACCTATTATGTGCCAGCCTAGGCTAGGGACTAGAGAACAAAGAATAGACTCTGGGAGACAAAGTGACTTGGGGCATGGTTGAGTTTGGGGGAAGGAGTTGGACAGTGGGCAGGCAACCTCAAGAGACCATCTTACAGTGGCTCATAGATAAGGGTAAAGAGTTTGACTTGATTTTAATTGCATTGGGCATCGTTGGAAGTTTTAAGTAGGAGGGTGAGTGATTTAAGCAAGGTAAGATCAGCCTTACTTGCTCAGCTAGTAAAGTAAAATACCCCAAACAATATGTGTTTTAAATCTGTTTCACAGGGCGCCTGGGTGGCTCAGTTGGTTAAGCGACTGCCTTTGGCTCAGGTCATGATCCTGGAGTCCCAGGATCGAGTCCCGCATCGGGCTCCCTGCTCGGCGAGGAGCCTGCTTCTCCCTCTAACCCTCCCACCTCTCATGTACTCTCTCTCTCTCATTCTCACTTTCTCAAAATAAATAAATCGTTAAGAAATAAATAAATAACTAAATCTGTTTCACAGTTTAAAAGTCCCTTTTGCAACAGTGGATGCCTAGGAGAGTATTTGGATTTATTTACATAAATGTTTCTTCACAGATAGAAGTCAGTAATTTTCCCATTACCATTATGAGAATTGTATAACAAAACTGTACCTTTAAACGATCATGTTATACTGTTCATACAGTGTAGCTCCATAATGGACTTTCATTCTGTTCCATGGGTTTTGCTATTAAGTGACAGTGCTGAAAGATACTTTATGGAGTAGTATAGCTCCTCTTTGGTTTACAATATGTCATATGGTGTTTTTAGTATATTTTCCCCATTCTTAACTGGAAGAGAGGACAATATACTGAGTCACTTAATAAGAGTAATCTTATTTTTCCATGGTTATAATTCAGTGTCCAGTAATTCATGACCTAATACATGAAGTTCTGAATCTAGTAACGTATTTAAAAATATTTTTTGAACTTTTTTTTTCAATAGGATTCCATATGGCTCTCATATCATTCCTTTTCATCTTTGCCAAGATTTGGATACTGCAAAAACCTGTGTTTGTGGAAGATTCTGTCTAAACTCTTTTATTCAGGGAACTACTACCATGAATCTACACTCTGTGGCTCACACTGTGGTCTTAGTAGATAATATGGGTGGTACTGAAGCACCTGTTATCTCTTACTTCTGTTCTCTAGCCTGTTATGTAAATTCCTGTGATATGTTAAAGTAATAGGTGATACCACAAAAAGAAATTCCACTTAGTTACAGAACAGTTTGGGATTCATTTATGGTTTAACTGTGTCAAACTGGAGAAAGGGAAGCCTTTTGTGTACTTCAGGGGAAGAAGGTGTTACTCTAACATTTTCAATCATTTGACCGTAAAACCTTAATTTCATTAAAACCTATTTAATTTTATTGTGAGGAAACTTTTATCAGTTTATTGCACTTGTGTTGATTTTAGCCTAGTGTTTCCAGAATGGGTTGTGGGATTATCTTTTAATGTTAAACAGATACTGATCCCTATCACTCCAGTCATAGAATTTTCTTTTCAATTTTCTTCTTGAATTTAAGTTAAAGAAATTGAATTCCTGTATGTAGAAAATATATCTTGGAGGACTAAGTCTAAATTTTAGTGAAAACTTGTTTGGTATGAAACTACATAAGCATACCACTTTTTGTGTTTTTCAGGTATATTATTCTACATATGGAATTCTATATTCAAGCATAAAGTTGGAGTTGCTTTGGGATAAACAGACTTCAGCTTTTATAAGTTTTATGTTACATCTTTGTTGTGATTTCTAAGTTTTTTAACTTTCAGAGTTAGAACAAGGTTTTAGGGTTGGGTAGGAGGTATAGAAATTTGCTACTTTTTACTGACTACATTCTGTATTTGAAGGTTGTTCTTTTTTTGTTTATTATTTTAGTCAATATTTTTGTTTTTAATTTAAAAAGTGGTAATACACCAGCTATAGTATGATGAGGATTTGAACTAGGGCAAAGGAATGGAAAATGAAGCTGCTTGAAAGAATTGTGGAAAATGGAATCAATCAGAACTGCTCCATTCTATTCATTCCTATGGTCCTTCTTCAGATCAGCCTCTTTTTTAGATCATTGCAATAGCCTCATAACTGGTTTCTGGGAACAAAGGAGGTGAAAGAGTCAAAGTTACTGGAGAAAACCCTCTTAGCATATATCTTTGCTGTTTTGGGCCTGGAGTTACAGGTAGTCTGTGTAAGACTATTTCTTACTCTGTCCTAAAATATTTATTTGGAGCATTTTATTCTTTTTTGAAATTACAAGTATTCCTCAGTAAATACTGTTCTGTTAGATTTTTATTAAAACTTTTATGTATATGATCTCCAAAACATAGTTTCTTCTCAGAGTGGATTCTTTCGTCCAGAGTAATTCTTGGATGACCTCAAATTTGTATTTCTTGTGGTCAGTTAAGTTCTTCCCTTAAAAGATTTCTATATAATTTTTAGTTTCTCATTAAAAAAATCATATGTAATGCAAAAATGACTTAAATAAAAAGAGCTGCCATTTAGCTGCATCTTTGTTCCAGGTGTTTTACATACAGTATTTTAATTCTCACAAATTACCCTAGGAGGTACCATGAACCCAGATCAGAGATTTTAAGCCCAGGTTTTATAAGCCTTCTAAAGTTAATTCACTTTTACTCTTTAAAACCAATAATTCTATTAATTAAGTAAAACATCTTAGAATTGCTAAACTCAAAATGGTGAGGGATTACCGATAAATATTATGTAACATTAAAACATGGTTCTTTTAAAAATGTATTGTGGCATATTTAACTTGTATCTGATTTTTACATGTTCTTGTAGAAAAAGTTGTTTTATTATTTTTTAAGATTTTGAGAGACTGAGTGTGCACAAGGGGACGGAGGGGCAGAGGAAGGAGAAACAGACTCCCCGCTGAGCAGGGAGCCAGAAACTGGCTGGATCCCAGGACCCTGGGATCATGACCTGAGCCAAAGACAGACGCTTACTGACAGCCACTCAGGTGCCCCAAAAGTTACTTTTTTCATCAACAAATGCAGATGTATCTATGTTGGGACTAAGTGCTAACCAGCTGTTACTCCTACACCCTAGCCCTTTGCATTACTCATCTATAATCCATCCCATGTAAATATCTAGGCCAACTTAAAAATTCTTGTACAAAATGCAATTTGTCTTCTCACAACCCATACCCTTTGTCACTTTTTCCTTTTGATGCTCATGTTTTGCCTTCCATGGGTTACAAGGCTCACTTCTTTGAGTTTCAGCCTTCCATTCTATTTTCAGTGGTAACTGTACTTTCTCAAACTTCCCAATAACCAAGAAGTTGTAACATTTGAGTATCTCCCAGAATAACTTCTAAAATTTTTTTTAAACAGTTTATGCCATCATGGACTCAGTTTTTTTTCACTAGCTTCAGAATGTCTTGCAGTTAGAAGTCAGTTCTAAACTCCTGCCTTACGTTCAGCACCAGTCTAACACAGTGCTGTCCAAAAAAACTGATGGAAATATTCTGTATCTGTGTTGTCCAGTAGGTTAGCCAGTCAGCATATGTGGCTGTTGAGCACTAAATGTAACTAGTGTAACTGAGGAACTGCATTTCTTATTTAAATATCTGTATATGGCTAGTCCTCCCTACTGGACACTAATTTGCAAGTCAGCTCTTTTTATACTCCAACTTGGATACTCTGCCCCACTCAGTCTGCTATACGCAGGCCTAATTTATCCTCATTTACTTTTTTCAAAATCTGATTGAGACCTTTCCCAGCAGCTCATCAATTGTGATTATGAATTCACCTAAGACATACATTTGAAATTGACCAGAAAAAGTAAAGAAAGTATCAGTTTTTTCCCTGGTATGTGGTTTATATCCATAACCTAGTTTGTAAAGTTGGGAGGTGGAACTCCTGTCTTCTTTATATATAAATACAAAATTCCAATTTTGTGGAACTAAATTTAAGTAATAATTTGAGGATAAACCTTAGTTCATTGACACATTTGCTATTTCCTTAATTTTGAGTCACATTAAGCATGTCATTCTATTTAGATTTCTAAAAAAACACAATATTTGGGTAAAAATATCACTGTTTTCACACAGGTTTAATTTTCCTACAACGTCAACATTTTCTTCTCAAAAATAAAAGAAGAATCTCAAAGCTTAGAACTGGATCACTTGACCCTTTCTCTTCTTATCTCCTCCCAATTCAAAATGCTTGCATCTCTTAATGGCCAGCATCCTCTTGGACCTGCAGTTAGGTTCAACACATTCAAGCCTCAGCACAATCTTCTTTGTGGTTTTAGCCTTCTTCCGGAAAATTGGCTTTGTCTGCCCACCATAGCCACTCTGCTTCCGATCATAGCGTCTCTTTCCCTGGGCATAAAGGGAATCCTTGCCCTTCTTATACTGGGTCACTTTGTGAGGCTGATGCTTTCCACACTTCTTACAGAAAGTCCTTCGGGTTTTAGGAACGTTAACCATCTCTGCAGTAGCGCTGTCTGCACGATGAAAATGTAAAACATTTTAAGTGATAGTAACAGACTTCAAACATTTTTAATAAAGTGCTTTAGGAATACAAGGAAACATTACAACAATACATAAATCAGTAATGTATAAACCCACCAAGTACTCCTTTTACGTATGAGTCAATACACCTAAAAGTGTACACCTTTTTGGAATGCTTAGAGCATTTATGGAATGAGACGAAAAATCAGCAAAAAGCAGTACAGGGGCGCCCAGCAGCCAGTTCCCCGTACAAAGTGGGTTCCTTTGGAGCTTAATTTACTGTGGCTGTCCCAAGAATAAAAGCATAGCGGTGTTTATTTTCTTTCTCAAGAGAGGACCAAAGCTAGAGTCTCCGACTCTTCCTCGCACCCTCTACCTCCATGTTCTAGCTCCTGGGTATAGCCCGGTTCAGTGCGTGGTTTCAGTCAGTAGCTATAGCTACGGCCCGCCTCCGTTTCTTCTCCGGGAACCGCAGCAGTCTGGTTTCACTTTTCCCCTCCGAAGCACCGGCACCCATCAGCAGCCCTGAAGGCTGACGTGTCCTTAGTGTCTCCCGGCCCACTAGCCGCCATTCGTGAGCCCCTTGCCGAGGGGAGAAGCCAGTTAACTCTGCCAAGACAGCGGGTCTCACCCTCCAGTTCCTACAAGGGCCTGGCCCATGCCCAGATTGGGAGCACTGGAGGCTCCTGCTGAGACCGCCACACTCCCGTCTTAGCTTACCTGGAAACCGCGTCCGCGCTCCTCGCCTCGCTCTGCCCGCGCCTAACAGGAAAGGGAGGAAGAAGCGGAAGTAGGAACTGAGCGTGAGCGACAGTGCTACGAACCAATAGGCAGCAGGCAGCGGCGGCCTGTCGTCTCCGGACGCGTCCGGGAAGCTCCAACCAGCGGCCCAAGGGGCGGGCCGGAGGGGTGTGGGCCCAAGGGCCGCGGCGCTCCGCGGGCCAGTCGCGGGTTGTCAGAACGGTCGCCGCCGGAGTGGGGCGAGGCTACGTCGCTCGGTCTTGGCGGTCTGGGGCCCGCGTAAGGATGAGAGCGCAGAGGACGCAGGGCCGCTGGAGGCGCAGGTAACCAAGCTGGGGTGCGGTGGGGCCGCGGCGGGACTTCTTCCGGGACCCGTGCTGAATGGAAAGGACCGAGGCGACGCCGAGCCGCGGCTCCTAGCGGCGGAGCCGCTGCCCGAGCTGCAGCTGCCAGGCGAGGATGTGTGGAGCCCGGGCGGCGCGGGGGAACTGAGACCCTTCGGGCCCCTGGACCCCCGGGGTCCGGGATGAGTTAGCTGGGGCAGTCGCGGGGGCCAGTTCTGACTGCTACAGGCCAAGGCGACGGCCACCACCCGCCCGCCCCTTCTGTGCAGAAGCCGCTAGCTCCTTTTCGCGCCCGCCCGCCCGCGCTCCCTGCCCTGGAGACCATGAGGTTCCGCATCTATAAGCGGAAGGTGCTGATCCTGACGCTCGTGGTGGCCGCCTGCGGCTTCGTCCTCTGGAGCAGCAATGGGCGACAAAGGAAGAACGAGGCCCTCGCCCCGCCGCTGCTGGACGCCGAGCTCGCGCGAGGAGCGGGCGGCCGGGGCGGGGACCATTCTGCTGTGTCCGTGGGCATCCGCCGGGTCTCCAACGAGTCGGCGGCTCCTCTGGTCCCGGCGGCCCCGCAGCCCGAGGCGGACAACCTGACGCTGCGGTACAGGTCCCTGGTGTACCAGCTGAACTTTGACCAGACGCTGAGGAATGTAGATAAGGCCGGCTCCTGGGCCCCCCGAGAGCTGGTGCTGGTGGTCCAGGTGCATAATCGGCCGGATTACCTCAGACTGCTGCTGGACTCACTCCGAAAAGCCCAGGGCATTGACAACGTCCTCGTCATCTTTAGCCATGACTTCTGGTCGACAGAGATCAATCAGCTGATCGCTGGGGTGGAATTCTGTCCGGTTCTGCAGGTGTTCTTTCCTTTCAGCATTCAGTTGTACCCCAACGAGTTTCCAGGCAGCGACCCCAGAGATTGCCCCAGAGACCTGGAGAAGAATGCAGCTTTGAAGATGGGATGCATTAATGCTGAGTATCCCGACTCCTTTGGCCATTATAGAGAGGCCAAGTTCTCCCAAACCAAACACCATTGGTGGTGGAAGCTGCATTTTGTATGGGAAAGAGTCAAAGTTCTTCGAGACTATGCTGGCCTCATACTTTTCCTGGAGGAGGATCACTACTTAGCCCCAGACTTTTACCATGTCTTCAGAAAGATGTGGAAGTTAAAGCAGGAAGAGTGTCCTGAGTGTGATGTTCTCTCCCTGGGGACCTATACGGCCATTCGCAGTTTCCATGGCATTGCTCACAAGGTAGATGTGAAAACTTGGAAATCCACAGAGCACAATATGGGTCTAGCCTTGACCCGGGATGCATATCAGAAACTGATTGAGTGCACAGACACTTTCTGTACTTATGATGATTATAACTGGGACTGGACTCTTCAATATTTAACTGTATCTTGTCTTCCAAAATTCTGGAAAGTGCTGGTTCCTCAAGTTCCTAGGATATTTCATGCTGGAGACTGTGGTATGCACCACAAGAAAACCTGTAGACCATCCACCCAGAGTGCCCAAATTGAGTCACTCTTAAATAGTAACAAACAGTACTTGTTTCCAGAAACTCTAATTATCAGTGAGAAGTTTGTGGCAGCCATTTCCCCACCTAGGAAAAATGGAGGGTGGGGAGATATTAGGGACCATGAACTCTGTAAAAGTTATAGAAGACTGCAGTGAAAAATCACAATTACAAAAGCAAAAGTCACAGTCTTCTATTTTTGATATTTGTCCAAACAATATACAATTGACTAAAGGGGTTTAGGAACTGGTTTCTGCTTTAATACGGAAAAAAAAAAAAATTCTTGTAAAAGGTGTCCAAATATAGTAATCTTTTCCTTCAATGTCTGATTAAAATTTAAACACAAGTTTTCATTTCGGGAGTTGGGTTTTAAAGTTCAATCTGTGTCTGCTAAAAGTAATCATTGTTAATTGGTAAAAGAAAAGAGGGGAAATTTTATTTAAATTGCATCTATTAATCTTTTTATCTGGAACTTTGTACACTTTTCCACTTTCAAAACTTATTTTAAGTACAGCAGACTTTATTTAAAACTGTCATAGCAGTAAAAAGTCTTACAATGGAATTGTTAGTATTAATCAAACAAGCCCAATTTCACTCTTGACACGGTTACTAGGAAGGGATTGCTTCACTGGTTTTATAATTCAAAAGTTATGTTTGTTAAACACCCTATCAGAACAGACATTTTCAGTATTACAGATTCCTGTATTATTGTGTTAAGATTTGCCTGTGCTTTGGAACCTTCATAGAACACTTTTTTTTGGAATGTATTTGATAAGAAAGTTTAAACACTGTTTTCACCTCAATGTAGAAATACAGTGGGTTTTTTTTTTTCTTTTAGTGCTGCCAAAATAAAATACTCATTTTTGCATAAAAAGGTTCCTAATTATTTTGCAGAATAAATTTTGTTTACTCTTTACACCAAAATTCAGTGAAGGCATTCTAGAAGTTGTAAAGTTTACATTACATCTTCTTGTGTACTATTTGTACATCATATAACTGAGTTTGAAATAAAGAAAACCCCACTCTGGACAATGCATTCCCTTTAGAAGAGACTGGCTTTCAAATTAGCCAAGCATAGATAATGAACAATAAAAAGCTGCTGTGTAAGTAAAATACAGACTAAATTGTTTTTGAAAGCCAGAAATGATAGAAAGTTCAGTCATGCCAAAGTGAAAATGTTCTAGTGCCAGCTCCAACTGAAATTATACTTTTTAAAAGGACACAGTAAATAATAGGAAACATGCTTAAAATTTATTCCATATTTAATGTGGAAGTTTCTCTTAATAGTATATAATTGCATATATATAATAGTATATAATTCAACCAGAAGTTACTCAGAGACTAATTTCTGTGTAGATAGGACATCATTTCAGTCTAAGAAAATTGTGTATTAAATGGACAATTTTGAAATTTTTTCATCAAATTAAGAGTCATATTATGGTTGACAAAATGCATGTGGTCGTTCTAGGTGGAACAAAATAGATCTCTTGCTTTATGAGCTATATTTATATTACCCTCACAGCCCAGTTTGGTTCCAGATATTTTAGGGGTTCTAAATGTAAATCAGGATGAATTGCCAGGCTTTGTGATAGCTTTTGGTGCTCTGATCTGACTTTCACCAGTTCAAAGGACTAAAAAAATGAGTTAATTTCCAGGACTAAGGGAAGCCAGAGGTTTGAATTAGCTATTTTGAATCAGAAATAGATCAGATAAACTAGCTCATGGCTTTGGGGTCTGCAATTAGATCAACAAATATTTTCCTTTCTACATTTTCTTTCATGCTGTACTAAAAATTTTTGTGAGGAAAAAAACGTATTCGGATTTTCTCCTGGCCTCCAATATAAATATTAATAACTTAGCCACTGTTAAGATAAATTATCTGTTGCCCTTTTTAGATATCACAAGAGAAACTGACTAGAAAACACTGGCTTTTTGGTTTGTTTTCATGTAATACAGTGAAGACAATTTTCCTATGGGAGCAAATTCCCAGATTTTTAATTGTTCTAAAATTCATAAATGTAGGGGTACCTAGCTGGCCCAGTTGGTGGAGTGTTTGACTTATTGATCTCAGGGTTGTAAGTAAGTTCGAGCCCCACATTTGGGTATAGAGATTACTTAAAAGCTTTTTAAAAAAATTGATAAATGTATTCTATAAAACCAAGAAATGTTTTAATACTGTAACAGTAACTTCCAAAAACATCTTTTAAGTTGAATTTTAAAGGCATCACTATATAACCTTACAACTCTCTCTCTCTCTTTCTATATATAGTGTGTGTGTGACACACATAAAAGAGTTGAAGCAAAAATACTAAATTTCATTCAGTGTATCTGTATTGTAATTGGATAGTTAATACTGGTTAGTAAAGTTCTAAGAATCTCTATTTCAAGCATAAATACATCCTATTTGGTGAAACATAAAGGCATAGTTTGGAGATTCTACGCCTACCCACACACACACATACTGATTAATTTCTAGTTAATTGCATTCTTGAAAATTACTTTTTGTAACAGACACAACTTAGTGAATATTTACTTGGAAACTTTATTAAAGTAATGGTAAACAAAAGAAGCCAAAAACAAACAAGCAAATATATACAGGTTGTATTAAAACTAAATGTTTAACTGTCCATTAGAAAAAATATACATCTATCAGAGGAATCACAAAAATCTCCATAATTAAGAAAACTTTGTATAAATTCTACATGGGCAAAAAAATAAATTCTCTCTAACTTCCCCATTAGAATCAAAATTGCAAATTTTAATTTTATACTTTTTGAATACTTTAAGATAGTAGTTAACAGAAAGATAATCTATTTTAAGTCCAAAAAACTTTTAAACTCTAAAATTACATAGAATTAGTCCAAGTCATATAGCAAAGAATTATGAAAACTGAATGCGCATTGAGTCACATGATCTTTAATAAACTGCACGCTACCGTCCTGCATATTGGTTTCTTTTATGTTGTTAAGACCAGGTAAATTGTGAACTGTAGTTTTGTTTAGTAATGAAGATAGGTCAACTCCATCTAATTCTTTCTCTTCTGTTATCATTGGTTCTTTTAAGTCATCTTTTTCCTCATTTGAGTAAACAGGACTTTCTTCTTTTATAAATTCAGGTTCCATTTTTGACTCAGGTTGCTGAGACTTTCCAAACAGCATGTGAGAAACATCAAGAGACCCTTGTTGCAAGCATACAACTGAACCACAACTGTCTGTTTCTAGTACTTTAACTGCTATAGACGAATCAGAATCAGTTGTTGAGGTGGTAGGATGTTCTGTATTTTCTTTTTCAGTGAGATGACTTCCTTCAGTGCCTTTTTCTTCCTTTTCATGAAGCTGTTCAGAGTTACTACATTCTTGCAACTATGTCAAGAGAAACAAATTAAGAATCTTTGAAAAAAATAGAAAATTAAATTGTACTCTATGGATATAGGGTTTTTTTATTTTTTTTTAAGTTTTTTTTTTTATAGATATAATGCTTACAGATCTGCAAATAGGCTTCTGGGCTCTCCCCCTCAAAGTCATCTTCCAAATGCTGCCAGTTATTTTTTATTTTTTTATTTTTTTTAAGATTTTATTTATTTATTTGACAGAGAGAGACACAGAGAGAGCAGGAACACAAGCAGGGGATTGGGAGAGGGAGAAGCAGGCTTCCCGCCGAGTAGGTAGCCCGATGCGGGGCTCGATCCCAGGACCCTGGGATCATGACCTGAGCCGAAGGCAGATGCTTAACGACTGAGCCACCCAGGTGCCCACTGCCAGTTATTTTTTAACAGTGCAGACAGTGCAAAGCTGGCATTAATTCTTGATTAATTCCTTTCAATGACCCCTTATCTCCTTCAGAATAAATTAATCCTAGCCTACAAAACCCTTTAGTAGTCATTCTTTTTTTTTTAAAGATTTTATTTTTATTTGACAGAGAGACACAGCCAGAGAGGGAGCACAAGCAGGGGTAGGTACAGGCAGAAGGAGAAGCAGGCTTCCTGCAGAGCAGGGAGCCCGATGCAGGGCTCAATCCCAGGACCCTGGGATCATGATCCGAGCCGAAGGAAGGCAGACACTTAACGACTGAGCCACCCAGGCGCCCCAGTAGTCATTCTTATAAGGGCAGTCTTTAATTTCTTTTCTTTTTTTTTTTATTCATGAGAGAGAGAGAGAGGCAGAGGGAGAAGCAGGCTCCCAAGGAGCAGGGAGCCCGATGCGGGACTCGATCCCAGGACTCTGGGATCATGACCTGAGCCGAAGGCAGACGCTTAACCATCTGAGCCACCCAGGCGCCCGGGCAGTCTTTAATTTCTTAAATTTTCTTGAATTTCTGTGATTCTTCAGAACCACTCTCCTCCCCAATTCATATATAAATTAATTGTGCTAGTTACTAAATTATTTGTGTCAAATATTGAAGATTAAAAATAACCAGACTTAAGGTTCAACTAGAAAGAATAAACAAACTGAATGACATAGGTCCATCCCATGGTTTGAGAGTCAAAAAGACTTGTTTGTCCCTGAACTCGTACTCAAACTTCCCCAATGTTAGTTTCCCTCTTCCTCATTGGACTGTTACTTTGGGATTAAATGAGATATATGTGAAAATAAAAAAAAAAGTGTTGGGCACATAGTAAAATACATGCAAAAAAAGTCTTTACTCCTCTTAAGTCTTCCCAGCCATTATGTACATTTAATTTAAAGTTATGACATCAAGAAATCAAAAATTAAGTTATCTGTCAGGCTTTAACCTTGTCCTAAATCACTACAAAGGCCACCAAATCCTTACCTTTGCATGAATTTGAATCTTACTATCAGTAACCTGAAGAACTTCAATTAATGGTGGGGTTAAGGACATTGTCTGATTAAATGGAGGGCTCAGGACCTCTTCAAGCACCTCATCAACATTTTCTTCATTGACAAACAGCCTTTCCTAAAATAGAGAAAAAATATTCTGCCTTATAGGTCATTTTTGACAAAGTTGATCTAAAAATATTCTGCCTTATGGGTCATTTTTGACAAAGTTGATCTTACACACTTCAGGATTACACTTTTAAAATGTTTAATGTTACTCCTATGCTGTCTTGGCAGAAGAAAACAGTATTGTACAGAGCAGTAAAACTAGCAACAGTATATACATATATCAGAAAAGACCCTAAAAGAAAAAAGTCTTAGCTCCTTCTCTAAATCTGTTAACAGTCTGAGATAATCTTACTTACAAATGGTATTTTCCTTTCCTTTTTTCTCTTAATATTTTATAACATCACCTCCAGGGCTATAAATGCAGTCACTGCTGTAAAATGTAATTTTAGAATACTTCCTAATGAGACAGCTAAGAAATATATATGACAGGATTTATTTAAATTTTGTGTGACCAGTTTGTCTTTTAGTTCCTGGCCAGGTAAGAACCAAATATAATATTTAAGAGAAGTATATTCTGTTTTTGCACATTGAGATAATCCATTGTGACAGTATCATATAGCTATTTATAAGAATGAGGTAGATTTCGGGACACCTGGGTGGGTCAGTCGTTAAGCATCTGCCTTTGGCTCAGGTCATGATCCCAGCGTCCTGGGATCGAGTCCCGCATCAGGCTCCCTGCTCTGCGGGGAGCCTGCTTCTCCCTTTGCCTCTGCCAAAAAAAGTCTCTCATGAATAAATAAATAAAATCTTTAAAAAAAGAATGAGGTAGATTTCAAGAGGCTGACATGGAAAGATTTCCAAACTATAATTAGGAAGTGCATAAATCACTTTCACCAGAATCCCAAACACAAAGCAACTTGTGCATATTCATGTCAAGTGAATACAGGTATATAGTTAGGGCGCTGAAGGGATAACCACATTTAAAATGCATAAAATCAGTTTAATGTTGCCCAAAATAAAAGTACTTTCAT